AATACTATGTAAATGTAACTACAGTAATCTCCAAAACTGTTTCTTTAGAAACTTTACAAAAAGCAGGAAACAAAAGACTAGGTGCTAAAAGTTAAACCTAGAAGGAGAAAACCTTTGGTTTTAACATCATGCAAAAATAATTAGAAACATGATGCTAAAATCCAATGAAACCTCCTAGGAAAAATTCAAACAGCTGATAGCATGTAGTATCTGCATTATGACATGTTAAAAAGCAATTTCATGGACACAGTAAATATATGGATCATCAGCCAAAGAAAGTCAAGAATGTGTTAGCCAAAGCATCAAGGTAATCAATAAATGCCTTGATCAGAAACTTGATTATACCACAATAGCATAGAAATTCGAGGATTTTGCATAAGTTTGAATTTAGGATATGTAAAAGTCAAGCAACTTTATTTATATAATATAAAGAGGCAAAATATTACTTGAGAGCTCGACTGAAATGCAGATCTAAAATGCCAAATCCAAGAAAAATTGTAGGATGATTTTTCTCGAACTGTTAAGCTATAAATATATCAGTTAAATTGAGATACCTAACACTGTACCCACAACAATGTCTCCGATTTCACTTGGGTTCAAATTGGTTTTTTCTATCAATGCCTGCAACCAGAAATCACCATCAACGCAAAGAAAGAATAGAAAAAAAGAAAAATAGCAAAGCAATGATCAAGAAAAAAAAAAAAGGGGGCTACGGTGGTTTGTTAGATCTGGCATGCAAGTGGTCCAACGGCCATGGCCTTTGGTCGGGAAGGGGTTCAACAGTAATGAAGAAGAGAAAATGATGAAGATCGACAATTCATGATTTTTAGATCCAAAATGCAAGGGTTCGATGGCCATGGCTTTGGTGAGGAAGGAGATTTGGCAACAATGAGGAAGATAGGGTTTCAGCTTGTGGGGAGGAAGCGGAAAAGATGAGCTTAGATTTTTTGGTAAAAAATGGTGTAGATTATTTTTACTTATTGTTGCCGAACCCCTTCAGTTATGAATATTAGATTTTTAATAAGAAATTAGATTCGATAGCAATTAGATTTTGTTTTTTCAATTCAACACATAAACATAAACATAAGTTTATGAATATTTTTTTTAGTAAGAATTTAGGAAAATGGATCATATAAATGAATTGAATTAAATTGATTGATTGAATAAAAATAATAAAAAAAATTAGGTGTAATGTGAAAAAGAGATGCAAATGCCTGTAGGGAACAATGAAGTTTGAGAACTCAAATGTAGAAACTCATTTAAAACAAACCGGTTAATCAAGCACATTGATGTAATAGATATTACATCATTTATCTCAAAAACATCAATATCATCGAGTTCAAGCCTTGTAGCTTTAACTGCAGCTGGAATTGCAATAGCTAGGCCAACACCCATGATGGCAGGATCCACACCAACTGCAAAAAAAGTCTTGCAAGATCAAGTAGTAAGAGATATCTCGATTTACCAATAGTTGACTAATTGGATGATTGACTTTATAATCTATTCAGCTCACCCAATATTTTGCTTGCCTGAAGTTTACCCAATATATTTATAATTTAAGAAGTGCATTTCTTCAATGCAATTTAACCGCTTAATCTAGTCACTATTTATATTTTTCATGTAAAGCAACACTTAAATAAAACCAACTTTTTGTGCATGTTGTAGTAACAATCAAAACTCCGCTTAACTTCCAGAATTGGTAAATGCAAATCCTATTTTACAATGTTGATAGGCATTGATCAAAGCTATCTTACTAAGATTGTCCAAGAAATTTAATTGCTCAATATGAAGCAAAAGTAGAAAAATACTAGTCAAGGGGAAGAGCATAACAACATGGAATTGATCAATAGAGCCAAAGCCTATAAAAAAAAAAATTGGTATAAGTTACCCGTAGTATGACATTCAAGTAAATACCATTTAATCAGAAAAGAAACTTGGTAACATAAGTTTGTTTATAATGGATGGCAGCAATATAAGGATGACTAAATTCAAGAAAATGAGCTACATACCTTGATATGTGCCTGTTATGTTCGATGGGAAAGGGGACCTAACTCCTTTCCATCTTTTTTGACAAATAGCCGCTGCAAGATGCATTGATAGAAAGAGAAAAGACATAATGTTAGGTTCAACCATATTCATGACTCAGAAATCAAACTTTGTTCATAAAACACTAAATCTACTTGCTATGAAACAGCAAAAGAAAATGTGAAAAATAGATTTTAATGCCACAATAACAATAGAACTAAATGTGTACTTCTCTTTTGGTATGATAGAGTTCAGATCCTTTTTGTTTTTCCTATTACTACTACCACTCAGGGGAGGGATAATAAAAAAACACCATAACTCATGTTTGAGCCCTCTCTTTGATTGGTCGCAATCCCAAAAC